CATTGAGTCATGTATACGTGCCATTTAGTCATGTATACGTGCCATTGAGTCATGAATACGTGTCACTGATTCACGTATACGTGATATTGAGTTCGGTATACGTGTCATTGAGTCATGTATACGTGATATTGAGTCATGTATACGTGTCATTGAGTCCGGTATATGTGCCATTTAGTCATGTATACGTACCATTGAGTAAAGTATACGTGATATTGGGTCATGTATACGTGTCATTGAGTCATGTATACGTGTCATTGAGTCATGTATACGTGATATTGAGTCATGTATACGTGATATTGAGTCATGTGTACGTGTCATTGAGTAAAGTATACGTGATATTGAGTCATGTATACGTGATATTGAGTCATGTATACATGTCATTGAGTCAGGTATATGTGCCATTTAGTCATGTATGCGTACCATTGAGTAAAGTATACGTAATATTGGGTCATGTATACGTGTCATTGAGTCCGGTATACGTGTCATTGAGTCATGTATACGTGGCATTGAGTCATGTATATGTGCCATTGAGTTATGTGTATGTGTCATTGGGTCATGTATACGTGCCATTGAGTCATGTATATGTGCCATTGAGTCATGTATACGTGGCATTGAGTCATGTATACGTGCCATTGAGTTATGTGTATGTGTCATTGAGTCATGTATACGTGCCATTGAGTCATGTATATGTGCCATTGAGTCATGTATATGTGATATTGAGTCATGTATACGTGATATTGAGTCATGTATACGTGATAATGAGTTATGTGTATGTGTCATTGAGTCATGTATACGTGCCATTGGTTATGTGTACGTGTCATTGAGTCATGTATACATGCCATTTAGTCATGTGTACGTGTCATTGAGTCATGTATACATGCCATTTAGTCATGTATACGTGCCATTGAGTCATGTATACGTGATATTGAGTCATGTATACGTGTCATTGAGTCCGGTATATGTGCCATTTAGTCATGTATACGTACCATTGAGTAAAGTATACGTGATATTGGGTCATGTATACGTGCCGTTGAGTCCGGTATACGTGTCATTGAGTCATGTATACGTGGCATTGAGTTATGTGTATGTGTCATTAAGTCATGTATGCGTGCCATTAAGTCATGTATATGTGCCATTGAGTCATGCATCCGTGTCATTGAGTCATGTATACGTGTCATTGAGTTATGCATCCGTGTCATTGAGTCATGTATACGTGATATTGAGTCATGTATACGTGATATTGAGTCATGTGTACGTGTCATTGAGTAAAGTATACGTGATATTGAGTCATGTATACGTGTCATTGAGTCCGGTATATGTGCCATTTAGTCGTGTATACGAACCATTTGAGTAAAGTATACGTGATATTGGGTCATGTATACGTGTCATTGACTCCGGTATACGTGTCATTGAGTCATGTATACGTGGCATTGAGTCATGTATACGTGCCATTGAGTTATGTGTATGTGTCATTGAGTCATGTATACGTGCCATTGAGTCATGTATATGTGCCATTGAGTCATGCATCCGTGTCATTGAGTCATGTATACGTGTCATTGAGTTATGCATCCGTGTCATTGAGTCATGTATACGTGATATTGAGTCATGTATACGTGATATTGAGTCATGTGTACGTGTCATTGAGTAAAGTATACGTGATATTGAGTCATGTATACGTGTCATTGAGTCCGGTATATGTGCCATTTAGTCATGTATACGAACCATTGAGTAAAGTATACGTGATATTGGGTCATGTATACGTGTCATTGAGTCCGGTATACGTGTCATTGAGTCATGTATACGTGGCATTGAGTCATGTATACGTGACATTGAGTTATGTGTATGTGTCATTGAGTCATGTATACGTGCCATTGAGTCATGTATATGTGCCATTGAGTCATGTATACGTGGCATTGAGTCATGTATACGTGCCATTGAGTTATGTGTATGTGTCATTGAGTCATGTATACGTGCCATTGAGTTATTTATATATGCCATTGAGTTATGCATCCTTGTCATTGAGTCATGTATACGTGTCATTGAGTCATGTATACGTGTCATTGAGTTATGCATCCGTTTCATTGAGTCGTGTATACATGCCGTTGAGGTATGCATACGTGTAATTGAGTCATGTATATGTGTCATTGAGTCATGTATACGTGTCATTGAGTCATATATACGTGATATTGAGTCATGTATACGTGATATTGAGTCATGCATAAAGGGGTAGTCAAGGCGAACAACATAATATTTCCAAATGAAAAAGCTCCAAAAATGTAAGAGAAAGTAATTTTTAGGTTTTGTATATACCTTTACGTTATCTATATATTTAACTACTCATCAGTATTATGTTGTCTGCCATCTTGATTCTCCTGCAAAGGATTGTGGGTAAAGTGTGACATCATATCCACTATTGTTAAAAATTAAGATACTGTTTTCATCCATAGCGTCAGAAATACTAATGCGAATTAGTTAAAATATTTGATGTACTTATTACTCATGTATATAATTATTATAATAATAAACGTAAATTAAATAAAAATCATTATTTTATTACCTGTATAACATACTCACATCGATAAATTGTATAAAATATACGAAAAATTCAGCATTTGGTAGAAAAACACAACAATTAATGTTTTCAGTTTTGTTGCCACGACAACTATTTTTGACTCCCATGTGCGAAGCACAAAATGGGAGTCTTTGCAGTTAGTGTGTCTGTATGTGTGTGTGTATGTGTGTATGTGTGTATGTGTGTATGTGTGTATGTGTGTGTGTGTGTATGTGTGTCCGACTGTTCCACTGCTATCTCAAGAACCATACATCGGTTTTTGATGAAACTTGGTGCATAGATGCTCTGGGCCAATGCGCAGATTTGATTAGGTTTTGGTAAAAATCCATGCTCGTTAATTACCTAATTTGCATGATAATTAGCTAATTTTTAGCTGTTCTATGACTGTTCCACTGATATCTAAAGAACCACTCATTGGATTTTGATGAAACTTGGTACATAGATGCTCTGAACATATGCGCAGATTTGATTAATTTTTGGTAAAAATCCGTGCATATTAATTACCTAATTTGCATGATAATTAGCTATTTTTTAGTGGTTCCATGACTGTTCCACTGATATCTAAACAACCACTCATTGGATTTTGATGAAACTTGGTACATAGATGCTCTGAACTAATGCTAGGTTTTGATTAGTTTTTGGTAATAATCCGTGGATACTAATTACCTAATTTGCATAATGATTAGTCAATTTTCGGTTTTTCCACTGATATCTCAAGTACTAATCATCACATTTCAATGAAACTTGGTACATAGATGTCATACGACACTGCACAGACCTGAT